CGAAAATAACAGCAACAAAAGCTAAAACAACAACAACTGCAACTCCCCAAACCAAAGATTGTCAACCAGAATCAACAAGTCATATGAAGTGAAGCAACATTCAAAACAACAACAGCCACAGCTCTCCAAACTAAAGAACATTCAGAATTCCCCACCAAAACAAAATCAAATAAAGGCACAAGCAACCTAAATAGAGACAGCAGCATAGAAGAAAAATCCCATATTGCAGCCTGAGATCACTGAGAAAATAGAAATGGCATTAACTTTGGCATCCTTCGGTTCACAAACAGCAGAAGTATCACTAGAAGTGACAAAGACAGAAACTGAGAGAGAAAAAGAAAATAAAAAAGAGCTAAGAAAAGCCAAAAGGAGAAAGAAGATGCAAATAGAGGAACAACGTAGAAGAGAGAGAGAGAGAGAGAGAGAGAGAGAGAGAGAGAGAGAGAGAGAGAGAGAGAGAGAGAGAGAGAGAGAGAGAGAGAGAGAGAGAGAGAACTTACTTCTAATAGACGAAACAATAGACGCAGAAAGGCAAATGGAACAACAGATAGCAGCTGATGATTACTTCTTTCAAGTTTAATAACAAAGAAAAAGTAATAAATATAAAAATTAAAACAAATTAAAAACACAAACAAAAAACAAAATAATAGAAAAATTGTACCATAATAAAATAAATACAATATAGCACAATCATCTATATGTAGGGCAGGAGGGCCTCCCTAAGTGGTCTGAAAAGATCAAACAAGGAGAACACTCCCCCCCAAAAAAGATAATATGGCCACGTGGTTAGAGAGTTATTTTACGTATCATTTAGCAGTCGGTTTTAAAATTGTATTACCCAAATAACTTAGTGTCACTACCGTACCTACAATATTCAATTTCATTTGGATTGGTTTTTAATAAGATACAGCCGTTAACAACGGGTAAGATGGGTTAGTCAAATGAGTATCCTTTTTAATGCATCTATAAATACATCTAGGGTGAAAATCTGGGACTCAATGATATCTACCCAGTTTTCATGTAAAACATTGTTGACTAAATGAGCTCTTTTGGCACGATCCTTTTCAGATAATTTTAGGCTATATACTCCAAAGACAACATCAGACATTACAACAAATTCACAAGCTCTATACTAGTGGAACCTACAATTGTTGGTACTATATCCTCAAATGGCTATAGAAACAGCACCCACTTATAAAATATTGACACAATATCATTCACAGCAAACAAGATAAAAGTGTACATTAAATGCAACCATTGTTGTTTTCGTTGTCAAAGTGCTTTAAAGCAAACTAAGCTGTTTGGGCAAAGATATTGATTGATGTCAATTAGTTGCTAACTTCTTATAGAGTGGTCTTTGACCGGGGAAACCCATATACTAGAATACTAGGATCTACCTTGGGAAGGCTGCCAACGGAAAGAGAAGGGCTGATATATCTCCTAACAAGAACCGTTAACAAGAATCGTAACCGTAATAAGTTTCCTATCACACACACAGTGCCTTGCCAGAACTGATACTACTAAAGTCAATGCCACCACAGGAGTCTGCAGTTTTGTCAATAGAGCACGACGAAATTTCTGACATCATGAAATCACCTTAACGGTATTATAAATTAACACAATGAATGCAAGAGTGACCACAACACTCGACTCGATTCGACTGTTCTCGCGCGTCTTTTATCGCTTCAGAATCGTAAGAAAACTGAAAAACTACACATATCCATTCTAAAAAGAGTAAGGTACCAATGCATCACTCTAATACGACCATCGCATGAATCCAATCGGGTTAATTAACCTTTAATTTCACCATTACGGTCTCAAACCCTGTCAAACAGAATTCATTACAGTAAGTAGCCCATGTTAATATACTCTGAATTCATTTATATTTTTTAATATAAATTAATTTGTTTAGGCACTTAATATCGTAGATGTAGCATTTACATCTCTTCCGACGACAATGCAGAGAAATAGTTTATAAGCAATAAGGGAATGATAAATTTGATATTTGTGTTACGACCCTACTACAGTAGTATGGATTATTCGGCAGACAATGTTTGCATAAAATTTCCCAACCCCCTGTCAGCTTAATCCAACATTCGAATTAGCTACCCAAAACTGCCAGGACATGAATGTTTATTAATTTTCTCTATCCTAAAGTAGTAACGTACTATCACTTTATAAAAGTTGTTATATTTGCTCGGATGCATTCAATTTACTCATTAGGATGTTTGTTATTCTAGATTTAGTTATGCTGCAAAATTCACACATACTTTGAATTTCAGTGTAAGGCACTGCGAAAATTAAAACAAATTACCACACTTCCAATTTTCTACCCTATCTGACTGGCCCGTTAAGCCTTTAAGCTTCCTATCAGTGAATGTAAACAAGAAAATTCTACTTTGTTGGGACTAAACTTACACTTGTGTATGCCTCTTCCATTCTACCTCCAACTTCATTGTTGTCACTAAGCTTTCATAACCCAGGTTCTTGCCTTACACTAAGTACATGATTTGTACGACACACTTCGTCTCAATGAGGGTCTCCATGCTTACGTTACACTACATGATTTGTACAAAACATTTCGTCTCAATGAGGGTCTCCATGCTTACGTTACACTACATGATTTGTACAAAACACTTCGTCTCAATGAGGGTCTCCATGCTTCCGTTACACTACGTGATTTGTACAACACACTTCGTTTCAAAAAGGGTCTCTATGTTTACCTTACACTACATGATTTGTACAACACACTTCGTCTCAATGAGGGTCTCTATGCTTACGTTACACTACATGATTTGTACAACACACTTCGTCTCAATGAGGGTCTCTATGCTTACGTTACACTACATGATTTGTACAACACACTTCGTCTCAATGAGGGTCTCTATGCTTACGTTAGACTACATAATATAATAAAGGGTGCATTACAATAATTATATTTGTTACCTACATGTATTATTTACATAAAGTGGACTATCCTGATTTGTCATACTTATATACATAAGTTAAAGTTCTCAGATTTAAATAATAGGAATATTTGCTACTTCGGGCATTCTTAAGTTACTCTCAGACTGGTATCAGGACGACTTTTATACTAGTGATGGATTTAATTCTCTGTCATATCTAGTAATTGTAAAGTGTGTTAATCGTATTGGAGATCATGCGAATAAATGGAACAAAGACATTGCTTTTAAATAGTGCTCCTTGGGATAAATGGGAATTAGCTCTTTGTGATTGGTGGGAGAGGAGTGGATATTGGGAAGGGGATATTTCATGAGACTGTTGATACAGACAAAGATAATTATGCTGTCAGGGATATTAATTGATCAGCTGTTTTTTAATATCGTGATGAAACATGTGAAGTTTAGAAATGTTTGTGTAGTATAAAACCCATGGCTGACTCTATTACAGTTTAAGGGAGATTTGTATGCCAAAGTGTTGCCAAAGGTTGTGGAACACTACTAAACCATCCAGCTGCGTACAGACAACACATCAGCGAACAAATCCGCCGTCTTGACAGACTTCTTGAAGGGGAACAGCATCTCAGCTTTGCCCTATTTTCCCCACATAAGCTATACTTAGCTCAATGCGATTTATTTTGTTTGTCTGAACTAAGTTATTATAGATTTGTTGAGGGCAGGTGGTTTTAAACCAGTCGTGCGGTTAGAAGTGCTCTTTTCCAGTGCATGTTGTTGTTTGTTTTTTCTTTGTTGCTGTTTTTGCTGTGGGCTTAACAACATTTTTTCAGCACATGATAGATATACCGCGGTGGGGAATGAAGCAACGAAAACTCCTGGGAGTACTACCAAGCCACGAGAAGGTACTGGCATACCTCCCCACATATCCCGGTTGGACCAGCCCGATACTCCGACCCACACAGATATGACGTCAGTGATCTATAAGGGCGAGCACATTACACCACTCAGCTCCATGGAGTCCCTTCATGGTTATGAGCAATAACCCGCAAAAAGTATACAAAATAGCATTTAATAATTGTATAATCCCACTTAGAAACTATGAACACGTGTAAGGGAGTACTTTGAAGGGATTCACTGACATATTAGTCAGTATTAAAGAACTTTGCTTGCAGTGCAAAAATATACAGGACATTAAAACTTCCCCTCGACATAACATTGTTTCAGTGTTTAAAAATATTTTACTGTATAGGTTGTTACTAAGTATTTTAAAATGCCTAAAAAGTCTTTAATTTTTACACATTAGAATACTACCTATGCGTTATCATGTATTTTTCTTTTCGCTTTCTATTCTTTTCTTTTCTCTTCGAGAAACAATGTCAAGGTAGCACACGTTGCAGTCTTGGTATGTGCACTCAATTGATTTTAATGCGTTATATCATTATCCGCCGACAGTAAGGGTATGACGCAATTAGATTGATTGGGAAATTACTTCATCGTTTGCATTTCAGGTTTTTTAGGTAGTCAAACATTTTGTGTACCCAATGAATAATTTAATAAAGAGATTATAAATATAAATTTGTATCTGTTTTAATTCAAGTGTCGATGTGCTGAGGAATCTTGCTAATAAACAGAGAAGTTAACATGGAAACGTGGCAGTCATTATTTATTATTAGAAGTGTCAAGCACTTTAAGACATATAGTCAACTTAGAGAGATTGTAAATATTCGGTACAATTACAGAAGGATGAAGTGAAGAGGAAACGATTTAGCATGTTATGAAGTTAACAAAAACAGTAATGTAAAACATTTATCCATCCGAGTTGTATCCAGTACTACTACATTAGTGATGTGATTATGATTTTTACCGTAGCTTTCAAAAAATTTTCAGTCATATCGCTTCAACGTTTGTAGTGTGGCAGTTTATAGTGATGTCTAGCACTGGGGCATCATGCCGCAGACGTGTAGCATGATGTCCCACCCAGTCACATTATCCTGACACCAGGCCGACCAGTCCTAACACTAACTTCTTGATTCTGAGCGTCAAACGAAGCAGCTGCTAGCACCATTTTGTAAGTCTTTTGTATGACTCGACCGGAGATTGAACCCACGACCTCCCGCATCCGATGCGAACGCTATAACCATTAGGCTACCGGAGTGGTTGACTACTACATTAGAAAAGAACAGAATATATCTTCTTTATTTATGAGCAAAATGTCAAGCCACAGTCAGGTGACATAGAAAAGAACCGCAACCCTGTTGTATTTAAATGCGACATTGCAATATAGTCAAAGTAAATTAAAGTTTGAAATGGCATTCTTTGACGGGACATAGCTAATGGCTCGAATATCGTAAATGGTAAAAAAAATAGAATATGCTTGGTAATATTTGCATATATGATTACGAAAGAAATCTGAAAAAGTAAAGAACACTATCCTTTCAAAATGTTTAATTCTGAAAACACTAGCATATCAAACTAATGGCAATGTATTTTATAAAAGTATTTTTCATTCAAAAATCATCTGTAATATGTAATATAGATATGTTATTCCTCTGTGACTCTTCGAAATCAATATACATGTTCGTAAGAATTGTAAATCTGTCAGAGAGAGAGAGAGAGAGAGAGAGAGAGAGAGAGAGAGAGAGAGAGAGAGAGAGAGAGAGAGAGAGAGAGAGAGAGAGAGAGATAGATTTAAATGGACTCTAGAACACTGATATAAAATCGAACCTCGAAATTTGATTGTAGAAAAGTATGGCCATCATAAAAATTTTATCTGCATAACTTGCTCAAATATGCCTAAACTGATGTGAAATATTAGACCAATGAATTATTTTTAAAGATTGAAAAGCTGACTACCTTACAGAGGAAGCAATCATCGATTTATTGCATTCTTTTGGTAACTAATGACAATATTATTGATAAGCATACCCTGTTTGCCAAGTTTCTAACACTTATTTAAAAGTAGCATTTCATTTACCAATAACAAAACTAATTACAAGCTCTCTAATAGATGCGACGAGAAACTGGGATAAAAGTTATTTTACTATAATTTTCGTTGAAAATATTCAAATTTGCTATTATCCTTAAAACTTTCTTCGAACGTATACAGCGAACATAAAAAGAAAACAAAAAGATATGCGTAAGTATATTCATTGGTGATTTTCTTCTCGACACACTTTTGATGGAAATTAGGTTAGTCATTCGTAAGTATATTCATTGGTGATTTTCTTCTTGACACACTTTTGATGGAAATTAGGTTAGTCATTCGTAAGTATATTCATTAGTGATTTTCTTCTCGACACACTTTTGATGGAAATTAGGTTAGTCATTCGTAAGTATATTCATTGGTGATTTTCTTCTCGACACATTGTTGATGGAAATTAGGTTAGTCATTCGTAAGTATATTCATTGGTGATTTTCTTCTCGACACACTTTTGATGGAAATTAGGTTAGTCATTCGTAAGTATATTCATTGGTGATTTTCTTCTCGACACACTTTTGATGGAAATCAGGTTAGTCATTCGTAAGTATATTCATTGGTGATTTTCTTCTCGACACACTTTTGATGGAAATTAGGTTAGTCATTCGTAAGTATATTCATTGGTGATTTTCTTCTCGACACACTTTTGATGGAAATCAGGTTAGTCATTCGTAAGTATATTCATTGGTGATTTTCTTCTCGACACACTTTTGATGGAAATTAGGTTAGTCATTCGTAAGTATATTCATTGGTGATTTTCTTCTCGACACACTTTTGATGGAAATCAGGCTAGTCATTCGTAAGTATATTCATTAGTGATTTTCTTCTCGACACACTTTTGATGGAAATTAGGTTAGTCATTCGTAAGTATATTCATTGGTGATTTTCTTCTCGACACATTGTTGATGGAAATTAGGTTAGTCATTCGTAAGTATATTCATTAGTGATTTTCTTCTCGACACACTTTTGATGGAAATTAGGTTAGTCATTCGTAAGTATATTCATTGGTGATTTTCTTCTCGACACACTTTTGATGGAAATTAGGCTAGTCATTCGTAAGTATATTCATTGGTGATTTTCTTCTCGACACACTTTTGATGGAAATTAGGTTAGTCATTCGTAAGTATATTCATTGGTGATTTTCTTCTCGACACACTTTTGATGGAAATTAGGTTAGTCATTCGTAAGTATATTCATTGGTGATTTTCTTCTCGACACACTTTTGATGGAAATCAGGTTAGTCATTCGTAAGTACATTCATTGGTGATTTTCTTCTGACACACTTTTGATGGAAATTAGGTTAGTCATTCGTAAGTATATTCATTGGTGATTTTCTTCTCGACACACTTTTGATGGAAATCAGGTTAGTCATTCGTAAGTATATTCATTGGTGATTTTCTTCTGACACACTTTTGATGGCAATTAGGTTAGTCATTCGTAAGTATATTCATTGGTGATTTTCTTCTCGACACACTTTTGATGGAAATTAGGTTAGTCATTCGTAAGTATATTCATTGGTGATTTTCTTCTCGACACACTTTTGATGGAAATTAGGTTAGTCATTCGTAAGTATATTCATTGGTGATTTTCTTCTCGACACATTTGATGGAAATTAGGTTAGTCATTCGTAAGTATATTCATTGGTGATTTTCTTCTCGACACACTTTTGATGGAAATTAGGTTAGTCATTCGTAAGTATATTCATTGGTGATTTTCTTCTCGACACACTTTTGATGGAAATTAGGTTAGTCATTCGTAAGTATATTCATTGGTGATTTTCTTCTCGACACACTTTTGATGGAAATCAGGTTAGTCATTCGTAAGTATATTCATTGGTGATTTTCTTCTCGACACACTTTTGATGGAAATTAGGTTAGTCATTCGTAAGTATATTCATTGGTGATTTTCTTCTCGACACACTTTTGATGGAAATTAGGCTAGTCATTCGTAAGTATATTCATTAGTGATTTTCTTCTCGACACACTTTTGATGGAAATTAGGTTAGTCATTCGTAAGTATATTCATTGGTGATTTTCTTCTCGACACATTGTTGATGGAAATTAGGTTAGTCATTCGTAAGTATATTCATTAGTGATTTTCTTCTCGACACACTTTTGATGGAAATTAGGTTAGTCATTCGTAAGTATATTCATTGGTGATTTTCTTCTCGACACATTGTTGATGGAAATTAGGTTAGTCATTCGTAAGTATATTCATTGGTGATTTTCTCCTCGACACACTTTTGATGGAAATTAGGTTAGTCATTCGTAAGTATATTCATTGGTGATTTTCTTCTCGACACACTTTTGATGGAAATTAGGTTAGTCATTCGTAAGTATATTCATTGGTGATTTTCTTCTCGACACACTTTTGATGGAAATTAGGTTAGTCATTCGTAAGTATATTCATTGGTGATTTTCTTCTCGACACACTTTTGATGGAAATTAGGTTAGTCATTCGTAAGTATATTCATTGGTGATTTTCTTCTCGACACACTTTTGATGGAAATTAGGCTAGTCATTCGTAAGTATATTCATTAGTGATTTTCTTCTCGACACATTGTTGATGGAAATTAGGTTAGTCATTCGTAAGTATATTCATTGGTGATTTTCTTCTCGACACATTGTTGATGGAAATTAGGTTAGTCATTCGTAAGTATATTCATTAGTGATTTTCTTCTCAACACACTTTTGATGGAAATTAGGTTAGTCATTCGTAAGTATATTCATTGGTGATTTTCTTCTCGACACACTTTTGATGGAAATTAGGTTAGTCATTCGTAAGTATATTCATTGGTGATTTTCTTCTCGACACACTTTTGATGGAAATTAGGCTAGTCATTCGTAAGTATATTCATTAGTGATTTTCCTCTCGACACATTGTTGATGGAAATTAGGTTAGTCATTCGTAAGTATATTCATTGGTGATTTTCTTCTCGACACATTGTTGATGGAAATTAGGTTAGTCATTCGTAAGTATATTCATTAGTGATTTTCTTCTCAACACACTTTTGATGGAAATTAGGTTAGTCATTCGTAAGTATATTCATTGGTGATTTTCTTCTGACACACTTTTGATGGAAATTAGGTTAGTCATTCGTAAGTATATTCATTGGTGATTTTCTTCTCGGCACACTTTTGATGGAAATTAGGTTAGTCATTCGTAAGTATATTCATTGGTGATTTTCTTCTCGACACACTTTTGATGGAAATTAGGTTAGTCATTCGTAAGTATATTCATTGGTGATTTTCTTCTGGACACATTGTTGATGGAAATTAGGTTAGTCATTCGTAAGTATATTCATTGGTGATTTTCTTCTCGACACACTTTTGATGGAAATTAGGTTAGTCATTCGTAAGTATATTCATTGGTGATTTTCTTCTCGACACACTTTTGATGGAAATTAGGTTAGTCATTCGTAAGTATATTCATTGGTGATTTTCTTCTCGACACACTTTTGATGGAAATCAGGTTAGTCATTCGTAAGTACATTCATTGGTGATTTTCTTCTGACACACTTTTGATGGAAATTAGGTTAGTCATTCGTAAGTATATTCATTGGTGATTTTCTTCTCGACACACTTTTGATGGAAATCAGGTTAGTCATTCGTAAGTATATTCATTGGTGATTTTCTTCTGACAGACTTTTGATGGAAATTAGGTTAGTCATTCGTAAGTATATTCATTGGTGATTTTCTTCTCGACACACTTTTGATGGAAATTAGGTTAGTCATTCGTAAGTATATTCATTGGTGATTTTCTTCTCGACACACTTTTGATGGAAATTAGGCTAGTCATTCGTAAGTATATTCATTAGTGATTTTCTTCTCGACACACTTTTGATGGAAATTAGGTTAGTCATTCGTAAGTATATTCATTGGTGATTTTCTTCTCGACACATTGTTGATGGAAATTAGGTTAGTCATTCGTAAGTATATTCATTAGTGATTTTCTTCTCGACACACTTTTGATGGAAATTAGGTTAGTCATTCGTAAGTATATTCATTGGTGATTTTCTTCTCGACACATTGTTGATGGAAATTAGGTTAGTCATTCGTAAGTATATTCATTGGTGATTTTCTTCTCGACACACTTTTGATGGAAATTAGGTTAGTCATTCGTAAGTATATTCATTGGTGATTTTCTTCTCGACACACTTTTGATGGAAATCAGGTTAGT